TGTTGGAGTTTTTTTTAATTAAATGAAAGGAGATATTTTTATATGTTATTCTCCACATTTATATTCTAAAACTTAAAAAATATTTATGACTTTTGGGAGTTTTACAATTTTTCAATCCTATAAATAGGAGGCTTTGTTTTCATTTTTAAGAACATCAAGAAAAACACAAAAGCTTTCTATAAAAGAAAGAAAATCATCTTTTTTCCTTTGTGATTCAAACCGAGCTTTGAGTTCGACAAGGCACCGGAGTTTGAAGTACCACTGTTCCGGTGAGGGACGTCCGTCCTATCCTGGGAGGATATATTCCATTAACCGTAGGTACCGCGCGGGGAATAATTTCCTTAAGGAGACACGGTTCGCCGTGGGTTCGGATTTGGTTTTCCGGTTTTAAAACAAAAATCATATTGATATAATGATGTTGGTTTGAACATAACTTTCTATACCGTTATCGGAATTGCATGTTCTTGATATCGTTTCGTAGATATCAAAATTATCTTTCTAATGGTGTATAACATGGATGATTTGGTCGTATGTTCTGAAAGTTATTAAACTTGGACAGTCTTGGTATGAAATTGAAAGTTAACTATGCATGAATATGAGACATATAAAATAACACACCCAACATAAAACCGTCTGTGTTTAAAAATAAAAAAAATTAATCATATTATTTCCAATTTTTTTTTTATTTGGATGTAAAATACATATTGGAAACAATGGAATATATAAGGAAAAGTTATTTCATTTTTACCAACATGTTTTTTTGTGTGTAGCAGCTCAGGGAACCAAGTGTCCGTATTTATGACATTTTTTTCATAGTAGAGGGCATAAAATGTACTCATTAATATTATCATTATTATGCCGTAACTCTGTGTCCAACAAGGTAGTTGTTTGATTTGTCAAGTTAGCTAAAATAACATTAAATATAAAAAAATTAATTACGTTTCAAATATGGAATTTATCAAGATATGCGAATCGATAAAATAATTTTGAACAATTATTCTAATTTCATTAGGGATCTTTTGGGACCATATTATTCGTATGGTGTATGCCTATTTGAGTTATCTAATTATTTATATTGACACATTTTATTTTATATACTTTTAAATAAATAAATAAAAATATATATATATATATATATATATATATATAAATTGTTATAAATTATACAACATTAACATTCTTAATGTACCATAAAAGGTGTTTTTAGATAACGGGAATGAATTCGCATTTATGATTAGATTTTAACACTAGACTAAAGAAGCAATAAACTAACAATAAGGCATTCATCATCTCCTTCAATGTTCGATTCTTCCTTTCCGCAATTCCATTGGATTGGGGAGTGTATGAGGCGGTAGTTTGGTGAATAATGCCAAATTCCAAACATACTTCTTCAAACGGAGATACATATTCACCGCCTCTATCACTTCT